CACAAATCAAAGCAGAAAGAAGGTAAATAGTTCAATGGGGAAAAATCTATATTATCAAATAGCACTTATAAAAGTCTTTTATTCAAAATATATAAGGAATTGACACAGATTACGTAAGCCTAATACTCACTCCACAATAAGCTAGTGGTCAAACGATATGAATAGTTTTCAAAAGAACTGCTAAATATCAATAACTGTAAATAAAACACCTACTCAAAATGATGAATAATAAAATTAAATTAAACTAACATTGAGGTCTCACTCCTGGCTTGACTCACACACTGGACTTCTCAATCTCCTCAAAAACCACCTTCCCACCCTAGGGAGACTTCCCCTCAGAGGCCCATGCTCCTGACTGGTGAATCTCTAACCTAGATTGCTACACTCACTTCACTCCAGCTCCACTCACTCTCCATCAGCTTTGCTACCATGGAGAAACCCCTGCCCTGAGGCTGCTCCTTTTATTGCTGAGTACTAGGCTGGGCCATCATTTCAAGCAGAACCCAAGCCCCAGTCACTTCACTCAGTCTATCAACCTTATCTCCTTGAAAGTAGCATTGTCACAGTATTCTTTCCTGACCCTGCCCATGCCCCTGCCCCACATCACTTTCCTGCCCGCCTTTATGTGCTGTTTTCCCTTATTAGAACATATGCTCCTTGAGGGCAAGAAAAATCTTCTTTGCTTTTAATGGTATCCTAAGGGCTTAGCACAGTATCTGGACCATAGTAAGCAGTTAATAAATGCTCTATCATCTATTATTTATATAACTTTTGTGTTCCTATTCATTGTAAACCTCATAATGTTCTGAACTTTTGTATTTCTGACATTATTCTTATATGCTTGGTCCTATAGTACTTGGTTATCAGCCCTTGCTTTAATCTTCTATCTGAGTGGGTCAATGAGCTCCCTATGCAACCGCTTCTATATCTTTAGATATCTCTCCTTCCCTTTTTCCCCATTGGCATAATTTATATTTGTGGTATAATTTCAAAGGTTTCTCTAAAAGTCTACTTGGTTAGTGAAAACTATTCAAGTAGGATATGATTAAATAATGTTGTGTTCAGTTGTTTTTCAATTGGGTCTGACTCTTTATGACCCAATATGGGGGTTTCTTGGCAAAGATACTGGAGTGGTTTGCCATTTCCTTCTGAAGCTCATTCTACAGATGAGAAAATAGAGGCAAATAGGTTTAAATGACTTGCTCAGGGTCACAGAACTAGTGTTTGAGACTGGATTGGAACTCCCAATTAAATAATAAGGGCAGTTAAATGAATATGCCAGTTATAACAACCTACTCTGAACCCCATAATTGGCTCTGACTCTCAATTTAGCTACATACCTGGCCTCAGCTTCTGTTCATAATCTCATCTCTAGCCTCATATAATGAAATCTCTAGTTTTTAAATTAAGAGGAAAAATAGTGGCTCTCATTATGCTTAGATTGGTAATGCAATCAAACACATACTGATCCCATGGCTCATAACTTTTGTTGAGATGAACATATTTTTCTTTTATGTCTGGGACTTGCTGACTGTTGCACGGGATTAGCAGAGGCAGGGACAGGTAGGGATGGCACTTGGACATGTGAGTAGCCTGTGGGCACAGAACACACAATTGTACCAACTACCCATGAAAGTTCTATAGCTGGTTTTCATGTAGTTTGATTTCTACATGTTCAACTCCATGGTTCCATTTCTCTCAAGAAAATTTTTATATCTCTCTTGTTGGAAAACCCTGGATTCATTTTATCTGCTTCTATTCCACACAAAAGTAGAGGCATCTAGGTGGCTCAGTGGAGAGTGTTGGGCCTGGAGTCAGAAAGATTCATCTTTCTGACTTCAAATCTGTCCTCAGACACTTACTAGCTGTGTGACCCTGGACAAGTCACTCAACCTTGCTTGCCTCAGTTTCTTTATCTGTAAAATGAGCTGGAGAAGGAAATGGCAAACCAATTCAGTATCTTTGCCAAAAAAACCTCAAGTGGGGTCCCGAAGAATCAGACATGACTGAAAACGACTGAACACATTCCACAGAGATCTTCTTAGGAAAACATGGCTGTAAGTAACATTCTGCCTCAGCAAGGCATCATCATTTTAGACTTTCCATCGACTGACATTTTATATACTCCCAAAAAATATAACAATCACAATTCACCCTTTCCACCCTGGAAAGTACCCAATGAAGGTTGCAGAAATTTGTCCAGTAACTATGCATTAGGCAAAGTGAAGAGTGGTGGTCTCAGATCATCAGGTAATTGAAATATGCTCCCCACCTAAAGTTTCTAAGCCTACAAATTGTCTGGGTAACTGTTCCTAACTAAATATATCTCAAAATCGCCTTCACAAATTTGTGAATGATCAGGATAAAAGTTGGATTAAGATTTACTGCTTAAACGAGACCGCATCATAATGACTGAACCAAGTGCTGATGTAAGTGAGGTCCTCCCCGCTGGATGACTTTGAGAAGTTTGTAGTAGACATCTGCAAGATTTTTTTATTTTAATAGGACACAATGAATCACCATCTTGTCTGGCTTGTTTCAGGGGGTATGCTGGAGACAGCTGGTAACAATTCTTAAGAGCTGATGGTTCAATTTTCAGTTTAAACATTTAAATCTTAGAAACTGGCAAATGCTACAAATCAGGCTTTGATTTATTGTTTTGCTGATTGTCAACTTAGAGTGAGGAAGAAAATGTTAATAATACAGATTAAGCTTAAAAGTGTGCCATGCATACATTTTCCCAGAGAGCCAATTGTTAAATATTTGACAGCACACTACAGGCTTTTTTTTAAAAAGCATATAATAAATTTAACAAAGTAGTTGCAACACTGCCTTCCTTTTCGTGTTTTCTACACTTCTGCTCTCTTATATGTATTTTTTAAAAAATATTTCATTGATTCTCTTTTTTTCATTATCACTATTCCTCTCTCTCCCTTTCTATAACTCCCCCCACTCTCAAGTAAAAACAATCCTTTGTAACAAATAAGTATGGACAAGCAAAATAAATCAATATATTGGCCATCTCTGAAAATGTGTATTTCATTCTCCATCATCTCTCTGCCAAGAGGCAAGAAGCATGACTTATGCTCAGTCTTCTGGAGTCTTGATTACTCACTGTATTGATCACAGTTCTTAAGTTCACAGTTATTTTTCTTTACAGTAACGTTTATAGTCATAGATATAAATTTTTCTCCAGCTTCTGCTAACTTCACTCAGCTTCAGTTCATATAAGTCATAACAGACTTATGCAATACTATTTCATTAAATTCATGTGTCATAAATTTGTTTACCTATTTCTCAGTGGGCAGGTACTCAACTTGTCCCAGTTCTCTGCCACAGCAGCTAGTGGGTAGAGTGTTCAGAGTGGAGTGAGGAAGACTCATTATCCTGACTTCAAATCTAGCTTCAGATACTTACTAGCTTGGTGATCCTGGGCAAGTCACTTACCCATGTTTGCCTCAGTATCCTCATCTGTAAAATGAACTGGAGAAGGAAATGACAAAGCACTACAGTATCTTCCAAGAAAACCCCAAATGGGGTCATGAAGAGTGGGACATGACTGAAAAACACCTGAACAACTCTTTGCTACAACAAAAAGTACTGATACAAATATTTTGGTACATTTGGATATTTATTCTTTTTTTGACCTATCTGGGTTATATGACTTGTGGTGGGATCACTGGGTCAAAAGATATGCACAGTATAGTGACATTTTAGATATAGTTCCAAATGGCTTTTCAGAAGGGTTAGATGAATTCACAGCTCCACTAAGAGTGCATTAGTGTGCCTATACTCTCACAAATCCTTTTACTTAATGTCATTTTTCTTTTTTTAATTCCCAAATTTTTGCCAATCTGATGGATGAGAGATACAACCTAAAAATTCTTTTGATTTACATTTTTCTTATAAGTAGCAATTTGGGGAAAAAAATTCATATAGCTGTTGATGCCCTGTCTTTTTTCTTTAGAGACCTATCTGCCTATATCTTTTATGATTTATTTGTTGGAAAACCACTCTTTCTCTTATATAATATTTGTATCATTTCCCCATCTTATCTCCTGTGATCATCCTTTATTCCTTGTTTTATCAAGAATTTTGCACCTATTCACTGTTGCGTGTCCATTTTGAAGTTTATTGCTGCTACCTTGGAGAGAGATCTGAGGCGACAGAGGAGCAGAAAAGAAGTGCGCAGCTTTCAGAGATTTGGTATACAACACTGCATTTACTCATCTGGGCCAGAACACTCACATACATCAAGACTGGCTAGATGAAAATGATGGGGAAATTCCAAAACTGCTAAAGAAAAAACGAGAACTCCACAGGGCTTACCAGCAGGATAATTCATCTGCCTCTAAGAAGGCAACATTTAACTCCATCAAAGGTAAAGTGCAAGTGAAGCTTAGAGAGATTCAGGATTCTTGGCTCAGTAAGAAGGCAGATGAAATTAAGTTTTACACTGATAGTAACAATCCAAAGTGCTTTTATGATGCCCTGAAGGCCATTTATGGCATCTCAACTACTCAGCACTGATTGAGCCACACTGATCATTGATAAAGACATGATACTGGAGAGATGGATTGAACACTATCATAGAGTTTTCAACAGACCATCATCAACCAATGTGTAAGCCACTGACCTCATGTTGAAGTCAATCCCTCCCCAGCTGAACTTCCAACTGAAGAAGAGGTTTTGAATGCCATTTGGCTCCTCTCACGTGGTAAAGCTTCTGGTGCTGATTCTATCCAACAGAGATTTATAAGACATGGCATCCACTGCTCACACAAAAGCTGACCTCCTCCAGGTTATATGGCAACACCAGGTTATCCCCCGGGAGTTCAAGGATGCTGCCATTGTCCATCTCTTTAAAGAAAAGGGAAATAGGTTTTCCTGTGATAATCGTAGGGGGGTAGGGGGTCTCTCTTTCTTAGTCATTGCCAGAAAGAGTCTTGCCAGAGTCTTCTTTAATAGGTTGATCGTTTACCTGGAAAAGAGTCACCTACCTCAGAACCAGTGTGGCTTCGGAAAAGGCCAAAGGATGGTAGATACGGTGTTTGCTGCTCTACAACTCCAGGACATTTATCAGGAGCAGAGCAGAGCAGAGCAGACACATCTGTCAATCTGACCAAGACCTTTGATCCTGCAGTTGTGAGGGCCTGTGGAAGATTATGGCAAAATCTGGTTGTCTGGAGAAGTTCATCAGTATTGCACATCAATTTCAAGACAACATGCTTGCACAGGTTCTGGATAATGGACGATGCTCTTGTGCTTTCCCAGTCATCAATGGAATGAAACAAGTCTCTGTGCTTGATATTTTCAGCAATGTTTTCAGATGCCTTCAACGAAGATGAAAATGGCATCAAGGTCAGCTATTGCCCTGACGGTAAATTATTTAACTTGATGTTTTCAGCAATGTTTTCAGATGCCTTCAACGAAGATGAAAATGGCATCAAGGTCAACTATTGCCATGATGGTAAATTATTTAACTTGAAAAGGCTACAAGCCAATACTAAAGTGGAGAGAGAATTGGTGTGTGACTTTTTATTCACTGATGACTGTAGACTCAATGCAGCCTTGGAGGCTGAGATGTAACAGAGTACAGATCGATTCTTTGCCGCTAATTTTGGCCTGACAATTAACACTAAGAAAACACAGGCTCTCCATTGGCCAGCACAATACCACCTACACATGGAATCATCAATTACAGCAAATGGAGAAATTTTGAATGTTGTGGATAAGTTCACTTACCTTGGCAGTATACTTTCCAGGGATGTACCCATTGATGATGAGGCTGATACATGCACTGCCAGAGCTAGCACAGAGTTTGGGAGGTTCCAAAGGAAAGTGTAGGAAAAAAGAGGTATTAGACTGCCTGAGAGTCTACAGAGCCGTTGTGCAGACCTCATTGTTGTACACCTGTGAAAACTGGACAGAATACTAGCACTATACAAGGAAACTGAAACACTTCCATTTGACGTGTCTTGGGAAGATCCTGAAGACCATTCAGCAAAGCAAGGTACCAAACACTGAGGTCCTTTCTCAAGATGAACTGCAAAGCATTCAAATTCTACTGAAGAGAACACAACTCTGATGGGCTGACCATGTTGTCTGAATGCCAAATGAACGTTTGTGTAAGAGATTATTTTATGGAGAACTCACACAGAGGTCAGAAGAAGCATTACAAGGACACTCCCAAGGTCTCTCTGAAGAACTCTGGAATCGATTATGAGACATGAGAGACATTGACACAGGACTGCCTGACACGGCATGCCGACATCAAAGAAGGTGCTGTGCTATATGAGCAAAGCAGAATTGCAGTAGCGCAAAAGAAATGTGAGCTGTGAAAATTTAGAGACACCTCCACTCCAAATGTTCATACGGGCTGTTTGTGCTTACCTTATGATAGAGCTTTCCATGCTCATATTGGTCTGATTAGCCACAGTTGAACACACTATACCATGACTCTGACAAAGTGATGTCATTTTTGTATCCTTCAAGCACAAAGGATACCAGTCACTGCTAGGCCACTATCTCTTCCACCTTTCCTTCCCCATTATTTCCCTTGAGAGTCTTTCTTCAAATTAATTGTTGTGATTATTTACAGCTGCATAAGTTAACCTTTGGTGGTTTGACTGACACTGAATTTGTAAATTAATTTAGGTAGCATATTGGCATAGCTCAACCATAAGCAATTAATATTTCTCCAACTATTTAAATATTCTTTTACTTCTATAGTTTTTTTGTAGTTGTTTTCATATAATTTCGTGTTTCTTGGTAGGGAAGCTCCCAAATATTTAATACTTTCTGTAGTTATTCAGAAAAAAAATTTTTTCTGTCTTTTTGTGGTAGATTTTGTTTGTAATATATAGAAAGGGGATGCTTTTTGTGGGTTTGTTTTATATCCTGCTACACTGCTAAAGTTATCATTTTGACTTTTACTTGAATCTTTAGAGTTCTGTAAGTAAATCATCTATTAAAGTGGTGATTTTCCTTCTCTGATAATACTTACTCATTGTTTTACCTGTCATTCTACTATGGCTACATTTATAGGACTATATAAAATAATAGTTGTGACAATGGACATTCTTGTTTTACTGATGCGTTCTTAGTAGAAAAGTTGGTTCTAGTTTTAGATAGATTCTACTTACATATTGAGGACTGATGCATTTATGTCCATGGTTTGTTTGTTTTGGTTTTTTTTAGCGTTTTTAACGTAAGAGTATTGTATTTTGTCAAAGGTCATTTTTTGAATCAACTGATATAATCACATGCTTTTTACTGTTTCTACTTTTCATATGGTCTATCATGTTTACAGTTTCTCTAATAATGAACTCCTCTTTCATTCCTGTTATAAATCCACCTTGATCATTGTACATAATCTTTACAATATGTTGCTGCAGCCTCTTTGATAATTTTTTATTTTAATATTTTTGCATCAAGGTAAAGGGAATAAGCACTTACCTATTTTGTTCCAGCACTTTGCAAATAGCTTCTCATTTGATCCTCACGGCAACCCTGTGAGGTAGGTACTATCATTACCCCCTTTTTACAGTTAAGGACACTCAGGCAAACAGAGAGTAAGTGACCTGTCTAGGGTCATGCAACTAATAAGTGCCTGAGGCTAGAGTTGAACTCTGGTATGCCTGACTCTAGGCCCACTGCTCTATCTACTGTGCTACCTTGCTGCATCCATATCCATTAGAGGTACTGGTCTATAATTTTTGTTCTCTCCTATTCTTAATTTAGGTATAAGGAGAATAATTGTTTTATAAAATAATTAGTATGATATCTTCTCACCCAATTTTTGCAATTAATTTATGTAATGCTGGATTTAATTATTATTTTAGTGTTCTCTAGAATTTATTTGTAAATCTATACAGTTTTGAGGGAGATTTTTTTGTAGGTGAGAGATTTCTTTATGGCATCTCCAGTTGTTGTTTTTTTTCTGACAATGAGTTATTTAGATCATTTATTATTTGTTCTGTTAATCTGGGTACTATATATTTTTGTTAATATTTATCTATTTTGTTTAAGTTATCAGTTTTGTTATGATAAAATTGAGCTAGTTTCTAAAATTCTCATTTCCTCTTAATTTATTGCCAAAAGTCATAACAACAAGCATTTATTAAACTTATTATTGCCAAATACTGTGCTATGCACTAGAGATAAAAATATAAGCAAAAAGATAGTCCTTGCCCTCAATGAGTTTATAATCTACGGGGAAAGACAATACCTTAAAGAGATCTGAAAATGGGGGTGCTGGGACCTGCCATAGTGGCATGGTGGCAAAGTCCACAGAATGAAGGATGGCTACTCTGAGCCCTTTCTCAAAACAGAAAATTCCAGAAAGAACTTACCAATAGGACAAAGGTAGTGGAATGGAGAAAGAAAAAGGCAGCTGAAGCATGGTGGCAAAGTCTGGAAAGTAAAGAGTGGCTTGTCTGGACATCTCCTGAATATGGAAGTCCTAGGAGAAACTCACCAGTGGGAGAAGAGAGCCAGAGAGGTGGATCCTTTTTTCTCTTTTAATTCTCACTTTCTTTTCCTGCCCCTCCCTTCTTCTTTCATTCTCCCTCCTTTTTTTTAACCCTGTCTTTATTAGTTAGCTAACACATTTGTCATTAATTTTTTTTTCCCAAAAAAGATTCCTACTGCAATAAATTCAGTTTTTGGTTGGTTTGTTTTCAATTTTATTAATTTATTCCTTGATTTTTAAAATTTCTACTTTGTGTTTAAATGGAATTTTCTGACTCTTATTGATCAAAGTGTTTAGAAATATAGTTTTTTAGGGGCAGCTAGGTGGCGCAGTGGACAGAGCACCAGCCCTGAAGTCAGGAGGACTTGAGTTCAAATCTGGCCTCAGACCAAACATTTGACACTTACTAGCTATGCGACCCCGGTCAAGTCACTTAACCCCAACTGCCTAAAAAAAATAAAATAAAAAAAAGATAGTTTTTCCTAAGTACCGCTTCCATTGCATCTCAAAAGTTTCTGTATATAATTTCATTGTTGTAATTTCTCTGATATTGTTGTTTTTGTAATTTCTTCATTGACTTATCAGTTCATTGGGATTAAAGATGGTGTAGTGGATAGTGTTGTACTTAGTTGGGAAGACCTGAAATCAAATCCCACCCCAGATACTCACTAGCCATGTGACCCTGAGCAAGTCATTTAACTTTCCTGTTTCTCAATTCCCACAGGTATGAAATGAAAGCTTTTAAATAAATAAAATGAGAGCTCTAAGGTGTATTAAAATATTAAATTCTATGATCCTATGAGACCTGTAGCACCTACTATACCTAAGTTCTGGATAATATTGTTCTAAACCATGCTGATGCATCTTAATTTTGTCTATAAATGAAAAGATACTGAAAGTGGAAAACATATATTCAATGAACCTTGAAGGTTTTTGATAGTTTTCATCTCAGTTGTCTGGTTTTCACAATCTCCTAGATACTAAGGCCATGAGATATTTAGCTGGAAAAGACCATAGAAATAACATTTTATACAAGGTAACCTAAATTCAGATCACTTCCAGTAGTCTGGAAAACTACTACTCAAAAACTAATCAGGACTACATGCCTCATGTTACAGAACTTTACAGATATGTTTTTGCCAACAGCTCATTCTAACATTTTGAGGAATATAACTAAAATTATATTTTATGCATCTTAAATCTACTTTTTTTGGCTTATTGTTTCCAAAAAATGAAGTAGAGTCCCCATCTTTTGATATTTCATTTTAGTTTCTTGTATCCTTTAAATGAAAACATTATCCCACTTTACCTATTTGATGGTTTCACTGTTTACTTAACAGGTTCCAGTCATAATTAACAATTTACAATAACACTGGAAAGAAACTCTATGGCTTTAAATTAGGCAACTTATTCTATTCTTCCTGCTAAGTTCAGGTACACTACTCATTCAAAATTAGTGAATTCATTTATGCAACAGAACATTTACCAAGCACCTACTCAGTATGACCTTAGGTTAAATTAATAAAAAATATAGTGTCCAGAAACAGGTCATCTTTCCATATTTGCTATGTTTCACTTCTGGAGCCAAATGGGGAGTACAATGGCAAGCTGAAGCATGTTGAGCAGGAAGACCAGAATAATGATGGAAAGAGAAGAAGGATAATGATTCATATTTACACA